TTCGTAGACAAAACTAGAGGATCGCTCGTTTGGGAATGCCCTGATTCAACGTTGATCAATCGATATATTGTTGTTGCCTTAACTGACTACAGTTAAGTGTCCGAAATCATTTGCCTTAAACTAATAATAGTTTAAGTGTCTGATTATTAATTGCCTTAACTGACTACAGTTAAGTGTCCGAAATTGATTGCCTTAAACTAATGATAGTTTAAGTGTCTGATAATTAATTGCCTCTTTAAGAGCATTGTTATGATCTGGCCTTAGACTAAGAATAGCTAAGAGCATTGTTATGATCTGGCCTTAGACTAAGATTAGCTAAGAGCATTGTCATTATTTGGTCTTAGATTAAGAATAATTTAAGTGTGCTGTCGGAATAATATCTGAATTGAATAAAATGTGTTGATATGAACTGAACATTATCAAAACTGTGAATGTCTGAAATGAACATTGTGTGCATGATATCAAATGAATTGATTATGAATTTAGATTCAATTTATATGGATGTTCGACGCATTAGATATGCTTACTCAGCTTTATCGCTCAGCGTCTAGTGTGTTTTATTTGCTATACGCAGGTAAACAGAAAGATTAATGTGATCCTGGTTGCAGATGGGGCGAGATTGTCGGGATGGATGTGACAAGTTTGAAATGATTTATGATATGACAATATTAAATTCGCTTCCGCAATATTGTTGAATACTCCATAGTGTATATGTTATGAAAAATATTATTGTGATAAATAAAGTTGTTTGAAAAGTTTTAAATTTTTTAATTACCAAGTTAAATACTTTAGTCCGAAAGGGGCTGCAGACCTGGACGGATTAGGGTGTTACAATTATTATACTACCTCCGTCCTAGAGTATTTGTCCACTTTCATTTTTGCACACCATCCAATGCACTTTTTTAATCCATTTTATCTTGTAATTTGTATATTAAAAAATTATAGAAATTATATATTACTCCCTCCGTCCTAAAATTAATTTCTCATTTTGACTTTTGCAGTCAAAGTTTTTAAACTTTGACTATATATTACGAAAAAACAATATTGAATTTTCATATAAATTTAGTATCAATAGATTCATTTTGAAACATAGTTTTGAAATATACTATTTTGATAATATATATTCATATAAAAATGGAGATATTAATGGTCAAAGTGTGGCATTGGAGACCGTGAAAAGTCAAATGGGAAGTTAATTTTAGGACGGAGGGAGTAATAATCTATATGTTAAGACAAATCAAACAAGATCACACATGACTATATTTAGGCTTACACATTGAGAGAATTTGATGAGTCAAAGTGCTTAGATGAACAGTTGCAAAAGTCAAAACTGGACGAATACTCCAGGACGGAGGAAGTATTAGGTTATTAGTATTTTAATTTATTTAGTTACCTTTTATGGTTGGGACTCTTTTAATCAACCATCTATATATGTAGCCATTATGCATGAGTTTATTAATCAATCAATAAAGAAATTATCCTTTCTTAACCCTAAATGTTCTTCTCTCTTCCTCCTTGGCTTTTGGCCGTTTCTCCCCCTCCCTCTTGATTTGTCTTCTTCATCTTCTTCTCTAGACTCTCTACCTTCTCTAATTTCCTAATCTTTTCCCTTCATCTCATACTTTTTTGTATCAGTGAAATCTTTAGACTGGGTAGATACAGCCGGACTGTTCTTGAATAATCTACCCGGCAATGAATTTAAAGTTTAATAAATCATTTTAAAGTTTAAAGAAGTCGAGTGCATTTGTTCAAACAGATCAAGCACTCAACACACAGTATGGAAAATAGAACTTCATTGATATTGAAGTGTTTTACATAGTGCCCGAAAGCAGATAATTACATCCAAAAAATAAAAACAAAAAATAGAAGAAGAAAAAGCCTTGGGCTCAGATCCCTTCAAAGGGGGTGAGCGGCTCTTCATCGTGGAGCTCGGGCAGGGAGAAGGCCTTTGGTTCAAATCCTTGGATGCGTTGCTGGAGGATGCCATAAAGCGCCTGATGCTCCTGATACCGGCCGCTTTCAAAACCAAAGGTCCCGATCTCATTGATGAACTTGGCCGACTCTTCATGCTTATAAAGGCCCTGGAAGAACTAGATGCCGACCTCCCGATCAGGAATCGCCTAGGCAGCAAATTGGTGGGGCTCTTGGGCTGCATCGTAGGTTGCTCGAACACTTCTCTCCCTTTCAAGTTCTGCCTTCAGATTGGTGATTTCTTGGGCTAACCGGGTGGCTTCTTCCTTCAGCTGGGAAGCATCCTCCTTCAGCTGCGCCTTCTCCCCCTCAAGCTCTTGGATTTTCTCCTGAGATTGAGCATCAGCCTCTTTGGAGGCCTTCAGCAGCCCCTCATGTTTGGCGTAAAGCTTGCGAAAAGCTGCGCAGTGCTCCAACAGCTTCTCCTCAGCTTTCTCCGCCTTCTGATGGGCAGCTTTGAATTCCTTACAGGAGGCCACCATCATGCCCTCAACCGGGCCTTCTCTTCGTCCTTGGATTTGACGAGCCGATTGAACCATTCCTGCCCGATCCGGCCGACCTGCTTCAAGGAGATAAAAATATTTCAGAAGAATGAACCTAAAAATATTGTGGAAAAGAAATTAGAGAGATGGGGGGATTACCTCGTTCAGGTCGGCACAAAAAGCCTTGAAGAGCTCCTCATCTGACCGAGCCATCAGGGCTAGAGACTGGGGCTCACCTCGCACTTTGCCAGAAGCGGAGGACTGGGCAGACTGGTCTACAGCCTCGGTCCTCCGCCTCTTCCTCAGAAGGGCCTCCTCGGCGGCCTCTTCATCGCCGCCCCCCTCTACTTGTTGGCCACCCTGGGCGGCCTCCTATGTGTGGCCGGATTCCATTAGCATGTTATCAAACTCCAGGGTATATACATTGATGTAGATTTCCCCAGAGTGGATATGTTGGCTAGTCCCCTACTCGGACTGAGCTGGCTGCTCATCCAATGTGAGCAGTTGACCGGAGGGCTGGCTGAAGGGCTGGGCGGTGGAGGGCTCCTCCGCATCAACGATCTAGGGATGGAGAACTTGGAGTTGAACTTCACGAGTGCAACAACGAATTGCAGAACGGAGCAAAAATAGAATAAAATGTAGAGGAGAATGGGGCTAACTATGGACGGCAGAGACTGGGGCTTTGGAACCTTGGACGCGGCGAATGGGAATTGCGTCTAGGATCGCCTCTCCCAGAACAATCTCTAGTTCCGGGTCGGTCTCCGGACCTAGGTAGACACCCCACTTCCCAACGTTACAGGGACCACGGGTGGGGGTGTCCCCGGTCCGGAGAGTGGCTTCCCAGGTGCCCAAGTCATCTGTCTCCCTGAGCATGACCTAGAATTTAACTCTTTTCCCCCAGGCATTTTGGGCAAAAGGGGAAATTGCCCGGGGGAAATTTGATATTAACATATTTATCCCTCCAACCCCTGTTGGAAGGAGGAAGGCCCGAGAGAAAAGCTCGGCCCTGTTGAGAGGACATGATCACGAATCCAAGGGTTTCCTTAGACCCGGGCCGGACATCGAACATATGATCAAAGAGACGAAGGAAGAGAGGGATACAAAGAAAACGGCAGACATTGATGAAACTGTTGAGCATACGGTGACTGGGGCTAACTACCCAGGCATGATCCCGTATGTCTCGAAGAAGAGGACTTTGAAGGGGTGAATGAAGAATTCACCAAGGTCCTTGATGGAATGGTAGTGGATACCGATTTTCGTAGCGGTGTGGAGAGAGATAATATTCTTCCATGTCACCTGGTAGGTCAATTGGTACCCATCCCGCATGAGGATGCACAGCTCGTGGACTTGAGCTTTCTGCATGTACGATGGTAGCTCTCGGAGCAACCAGTCATCTAGCGGGATAAAGCCCCCTCTCACAGACGGGGCAACCAGTCATCTAGCGGGAAGCGTCGACCGACTTCTTCTGCGGAGAATGAGCGTGGCGCTCAGAAGAACAAGAAGACTGGGAACTGGAGGTCTGAGACCGGGCACCAGAACCGTAGGAATGAATAGAAGGGTTATGGGTATCCTCGTGGTCAGACATGACTCAAAGAAGTGAGGAGGGAGAAAGAAGACCTACTTGAGACTAGAAGACTCAGAGGACTCGAGAGACAGAGGTAGCAACCGGGCAATTTTTTGGAAAGCAAATTGCAAGTGAGAAAATTTGGTGGGGAACCTCGCTTTGTATAGGGGAGGTTCCGCCCAGCCGGACCAACGGGGGAGTGACACGTGGCAGTCGAAATGATTCGTAACGAGAATTTCTCGGGAAGGCGAAACGTCGTGACAAATCGGCGGGGTCGTACTCGATTCCAATAAAGAGATCCCCGCGTTTGACGCATGGGATTTCGAAATTCAAAAATTCAAATATATTTTTTGGCGCCGGTTTACAAATGACATTTTCGTGCCAAAACCGCCCGGGGAGTTGAAATTTGAAAAGAAGCTCGCATATGCTTCCCGCCCCCGGGAATCGGAGGACTCCTTGATGGGTAATAACCCATGGATACCACCCAGTAGGTTTGTACTGACCAGGAAGTATCAAATCCAACGCCCTATGACTCGGTTGACCCAGGCATCTAACCAATCAGGGGTGAGAAGATTTAGAATCACACACATGGCTTCACCTTACGAAGGCACTGAAGCTGACCGACCGGAGGAGCAGAGACGTGCTTGACATGCTTAGTGATTATTATAAATAGGACTAAAAGCCTCATTTGTGGGGCATGTTTTAATTAATCCACACGGTTTACAACTTGTTAAGGGTCCTACTATTATTAATAACAAACCGGGTTACAGGTGTTAACGCACCAACACTTTGTGTTAGTGTAAATTTTTATTAACGGACCAACACTTTGTGTCAGTGTAATTTTTTGTTGACGCACCAATAATTTGTGTCAGTGTGAACTATCAAAATATTGTTTCATATCTTTGGTGTACGGATGAAGTAAAAAATTTTGGGTACATATAGCATGCTTCTTATATATAAGTCTCCTTATCACATTTCATTCTCAGGAGCAAACGCCTTTTTTTGCATTTACTAGCTTACTGCACCGTGCTATATAATTGCCCCCAAATTATATAAACAGAAACCGGCGGGATGGGTCACTCAAATGTATTGGAAGCCCTCAACGTTCGAGTGGTGGGCAACGGCGAGAAAACCCTGGTGCTAGCCCACGGGTCGGGCACCGACCAGTCCGCATGGCGGGGCATTTACCCTCATTTCGTCCGGGACTACCGCGTCGTCCTCTTCGACCTCGCCTGCGCCGGCAGCGTCAACCCCGACTATTTTGACTTCTGCCGCTACACAACACTCGACGCCTATGCCGACGACCTCATCAACATTCTCACTCATCTTAAAATCCAGCGCTGCGACTACGTAGGCCACTCTATATCCGCCATGATCGGAATCCTCGCCGCCATACGCCGCCCCGATCTCTTCTCCAAGCTTGTCCTCGTCGGTGCTTCCCCCAGGTAACAAAAATTAAGATTATTATCATCTATATTACATCCTTTTTTTATTTTATTTATCCCTAAATCTCTGCTTAGTTATCAAAATGTCAAAAGTTCATCGCTTTGCATAAACAAGAAGCCGAATCTGATTTCTTTTTTGTTGTACGTCAACCCATCTTTTCTCTGAACTAATCCTGTAGCAGTGTAGCACAATCATTATCTCTAATTATGGTGCCATTTCGGTGGCTACCATATTTCTTGCCTTTTGACTTTATTAAGATACTCCCTCGGTCCCAAATTATTTGCCACATTTATAATCTCGAGGTAAAATTTTACATTTTTTCAATTTATTTTATTATATATTGGTATAGAAATAAAAAATATTCTGTAAAATTTACATATGAAAAACTACATGAAAAATTCTTCAAAATAAGAGGTGTCAAGAATATTTTATTTTATCAAATAATCAATGAAAACGTTGAAATAAACAAAAGTTCCCGCGACTACTGAAAAAGTAAATGTTGTGAATATTTATGGACGGAGTTAGTATTTTTTTTAATTTAATAACAATTCGTACCCACTTTTGGTCCGGCAAAGGACTAATATAATGGGAAATTTACTTTAATAGGACTAAAATATAATGACTTTCTCAATATGAGACCATATGTTTTTATTTCCCAATGTAGGATCTTTGGCCATTATTTATTAATCATTATTCAACTAAATGTCCATCATTGGTGGACATTATTATATTCCTTTTCCTAAACATAATTAACTCTCATTTAAGGAATAAAAAATTTTAAGTCCTACATTGGAAAATAACCTATGTTTTAGTCTTATTTAATGCAAATTTCACTAATATATTCCCTCCCTCCCTTAATCATCCTCTCCATACTATTCCCTAGTATTTACGCGGGCTATAGTTCTCCCGTGATTAACAAAAAAGGCGTCAAAACCTTTTTTATTTTCAAAAGTTATTTGTAAAGTTACTATGGTTTCTAAATAGAGTACATATGCCACTGCACCTTTACCTATTTTAAAGCAAAAATTACATTTATGCTCTTTTCTTCCTCCAATTTTGAATTTTTCAATTTTATTTTTTCCTTTATTATACAAATAAAAGATGTTTCATAATGCACTTTTGAAAAAAAATGATTTTTTGGAAAATGTTACAAAAGAAAATGAAAAAAAATATTATGTACAAAGTAAAAAATAATAATTGAAAAAGGCAAGGAAAAGAAATAAAAATACAGAAAACAGTCTTTTTCTTTAACTCCATATTTTATTTCATCTTTCTATTCTCCATATTTTATAGTCCTTAATAATTATGTTACTCTTAAAAAACAAATAAGTTAGAATTTTTAATTAGAGATAGAGTGAGTAATGTTACTCTTAAAAAACAAATAATTTAGAATTTTTAATTAGAGATAGAGTGAGTATATGTTATCTAATTTTTTATTTTATTTATTTTACTTATACTTAAAATGAAAAAGTGTATTTTATTTCATTTTTAATTTTTCATTTTTTGTAACATTTTCTAAAAAACTTTTTTTTGAAAATTAAATGAATGAAAAATTTTGATTTGAAAAAGATGGCGTATATTTTATTTTATGTATCTGTATAAAAAATGAAAATAAAAGAGTGAAATTTAAAGATAGAGAAAAACTAAGGGCAAAAATATCATTTCATGTCTTAAATTCGGCAAGACGGGGCGTCTGTGCACTATTTAAACCTTAGGGGTTTTATATATATTTTGAAAGTAGAGGAGCTTTTAATTTTTTTGGTTATAAAATGTATTCCCCGTCTCTAAAAAAATTGCTACAATTTGACATTTTTGATCAAATTGTGGAACCCTTTAATTATGAATTAAATATAGTTGAAAATAGTTAAATATAATAGGAATTTGTTATTTCAAAACTATATTCTAAAATAAATCTAATTTTATTAAATTTACATTATAACTAAATATTCTTTTTCCTTAATTCACGGTTAAATAATGTCACAATTTGACCAACAAAGTCAAATTGGGGCAATTGTATAAGAAGGGAGGGAGTAGATGTTTTGTTCAAATAAAAAGATAAAACCTTTATCATTCACCAAGATGAAAGAGCTGAGACACTATTGGTCTATTGCAAATGATTGGGGGCCACTTTCCACCGAAGGTAGGGTGCTCTTTGCGGTAAATTAACAATCGATCCAAAATTTGTGTCTTTTGATTTTTGGAATTGTTCATCTAAGCAATTTGACTCATCAAATTCTCTCAATGTATAAGCTTAAATATAGTTATGTGTGTAGAAAATAAGAGAGAAAATATTTCTGTATATTGAATTGGCTTGTGAATAAAAAGGTCTAACCCTCTTTATATAGAAATTTATATAGAAAGAGAGTAAAGCATATAAGTAAACTTCTATTCCTACCATATTTCTATTCCTACTAAAACAAGAAATAAACAAACTAGGAAAGATACTAAATCGAATCCCAAAGGGATTCAGTTTCCTTCTTCGGTCCAGCTTCCTTCTTCTATCGCCAACACCCCCCCTCAAGCTGGAGCGTGGGAGTTCAACATGCCCAGCTTGGACATCAAAAGGTTGAACAAAGCTTGAGGAAGCCGCTGCCATTGTTGTCCAAGGGTCATCTAGACACTTCGGGTTTTTTTTTCAACGGAGACGCCAAGTTTTTCGAATCCGCAAAAAATCAGTCGAGTAAAGGAACGCCATGCTTTTCGAACCTTCACCATATTTGAACAAACAGGGGGAACGCCATTCTATTCGAACACCCTGAACGCTGACTTTTTTATTGCCTGCAAAGGAAAGAGTTGTATGTCTCTATATAACAACTCTTCTCGGACAACTTCTTCGAGATTGATGGTTGGGCGGGATTCCTCGACAACAATGTTCTTCGTTGAAGGAGCTAGTTCATGATATTCTTTAGTGAGGGAGAACCGTCAAAGAAAATAAAAAATTACAATATCCCGCCGGTAGGCATCGAATTGTGTATGCCCACCGGCAGGGAAGAAGCGTGTTTGAGGTCTCAAGAATTCAAAACTTGCTCTGATACCATGTAGAAAATAAGAGAGAAAATATTTCTGTATATTGAATTGGCTTGTGAATAAAAAGGTCTAACCCTCTTTATATAGAAAGAGAGTAAAGCATATAAGTAAACTTCTATTCCTACCATATTTCTATTCCTACTAAAACAAGAAATAAACAAACTAGGAAAGATACTAAATCGAATCCCAAAGGGATTCAGTTTCCTTCTTCGGTCCAGCTTCCTTCTTCTATCGCCAACAATGTGTAATCTTGTTTGATTTATCTTAACATATACTCCCTCCGTCCCATAAAGTGTTACCCATTTTGACTAAAGTAGAAATTAAAGGAGGGATAATTTTTGTTGACTTTCCAAAATACCCTTGATGTGATGGGTAAAAGTAGGATGTGATGTGTAGATTATTAGGAAAAAGGTATGATATGATAGGTAGGGTTTGAAAAAGTAAGGGGTAAAAGTGGTTTTTTAATAGAAATGGGTAGGAGATTGTGGGACACAATTTTTTTGAAAGGTGTAAATCTTTTTGGGACGGAGGGAGTAGATTATTAATATATAATTTCTATAATTTTTTAATATACAAATTACAAGATAAAATGGATTAACGAAGTGTATTGGATGGTGTGTAAAAATGAAAGTGGACAAATACTTTGGGACGAAGGTAGTACATTAAAATGAAAGTAATATTTAGGATAGTCTTAGAAATGGTTCTTATTTTCTTTAAATTAAAAAATAGTATAGTTGGTATTCTTTTATCATTTGTAATTTTTAATCACAACTGAACAAAAAAGACTCTCTGTTTACAAAATTGATGATTCTTATTGCTCTAATACCCACATTTCATACTAAACCCCCACCCCAACCATTAGCCCCTCTAATGACAATACATTTGGAAGGGTGGAGGGGACTAGGTGAGAGGTTTACGGGTGTTGGGAGAATATGAATCATTGATTTTGGAAATTGAACAATGTAGGTGCTTCAAAAAAAGCATCGGCACAGGCCGTGGAACTCGCCGACTAACAAATTTGCTTTCTTAATAAGCTCTCAAGATAGTACTCTCGTAGTTTCTAAAAAGTGGAGTATTTTATGGATTGTAAAATCTTACATAGGACGTACTCTTTTAAAACTTAAGGTTCTCGAACGAGGGGGACTACCATGGAGGATTTGATCGAGAAGAAGTGGAAAAAGTATTCAGCGCTATGCAAGAGAACTACGAGGCTTGGGTGAAGGGGTTCGCACCTCTGGCGGTGGGAGCGGATGTGCCGGAGGCAGTTCAGGAGTTTACAAGGACCCTCTTCAACATGAGGCCGGACATAACCCTCTTCGTATCCCAGACAGTGTTCAATAGTGACCTGAGGGGGGTTTTGGGGCTGGTCGAATGTCCTTGTCACATCGTACAAACAGCAAAGGATGTGTCAGTTCCGGCGTCGGTGTCAACGTACCTGAAGAACCACCTCGGAGGGCGGAACACGGTGCACTTGTTGCCTATAGAGGGTCACTTGCCACACTTGTCTGCGCCAGCTTTGTTGGCCCAAGTGTTGAAGAAAGCCTTGTCCCCTGGGCTGGGAAGTCAGTAGTTGTTGGCACATCCTCTGCACCAGCAGCTTTGTTGGCCCAGTTTATCTAGCTTATATGAAGTGTCGTGTACGACTACCTTATGTTTACTTTTGTGGATGAGGACCGGACCAATTAAGGTAAGGATTGGCCCGGATCGGGAACAGTAAAACCCACACCGAACCGGAAAGCACCGAATAAAAATATTACTACAATTAATTTTTAATGTGTAACATTAAACATTGTCAAACAGTGTTGTTTTTAATTTTTTAAAAAGTTTAAATAAAATATATACCCCTCATCCCTATTACATAAAATTTGTTCGTAATTTTTATTTTTGTTCATGAGGTTGTTTACAATGTTTATTCTTGTTGATTAGAATTTTATTATTGATAAAGTATAAACTTAAGTTATATCACTAACTAGTTTTTGATGGGAACCAAGCCCATTGAGAGAATACTGGCGAATTGGGCCTAGGCCCAATTCGGATCCCGTCCATCAAAAGGAGCATCCGGCCCAGGTAAAATGTACCGGGCCGGCCAAAGGAAGGCTGTCCGTAAAGAGAAATAAGAAAAGGAAGAGAAGTAGGGCTTAAGAATGGGCTGAAGCCAGCCCATTAAGGATAAGCTACCCACGAAGAGAGGAATCCTATGAGGAGTTTGGGGAGTCCCCCCTTCCACTTGAAGGGACAAGGACGAGGAGAAAGAGACGGACGAAGGACAGGGAGCAAGAGATGGACAGAAGGGTTTGTCCTCCAGTGGACGGCCTCAAGCGGGGATACACTCACCCTGGAAAGGGCAAGGCTGGCGCGGATGTTCTCCCAAACCACTGCTATTATTGTAGAAGATAGCAGATGGGGAGCGCCTATAAAAGAAAGAAGGATTGAGAGATTAAGGATATCTTGTGATAGAGAGAAAAAATACTTAAGTAATAATAAAAGATATTCCGGCGTTCCTTAAACATATTCCGTTCCTGAGAGGACTGAATAAAGGAGAGGACCGCCAGTCTGAGTTCTTGTTCCGTGAGCAGTGTTTCCATTACTATTAATCACTATTCTCGTATTATTCTTTCAATATTATAAGGCCCGGACACCTATATTTGAACCTGGGTCGATCTACAGTCCCTAGAAAAATATTGGGTATCCATCAGTTTTATATCCCGTGCGAAGGCTTAGGATGTATTCACGTGTCTATTAATTAAGATTATCATTGTTAGACTTTTTTGGTAAAACGATGTAATATTTTGATTACCAATTAAATACAGTTTTAAATTATTAAATATCATAAAATTCTAATTTATGAAAACAGTATTTTAAATAGACAAAATTTTTATAAATTTACACACTTTGCCGTCAAAGTATAGAGCAACTTGACTAAAAATATCAAATTCTTATTAAATGATATACTAATGAAATTTGATTTAACTAATGAAAAAAATAAAATAAAAATGCCAAATAAATTAATGTAATGATAAATCATTGAAAAATACATATGCGGTATATAGCCTATATGCCATGTGTTATACTTCAAGAAAAACAAATTAATTTAATTTAATTAGTTGAAATGATATATAGAAAATTAAATAGTGTTACAGATAAAACATTTTGAAATAAAATACAATATATAGTTAGTAAATATATAGTTAATCAAATACGGAGTATAGTTATTTGGTAAAATAACAATATACTCCGTAAATTAAATAAATGGTGGCCAGATGCCCCTACAACGAAAATTAATAAAAGTTTTATTAAAAACGAAAAAAAACAGTACAAATGGGGTGGCCAGATGCCCCTACAATTTGGCCAAGGAAGATAAATGGAAATACACGCACCAAAAGATAGATATCCCAAACAAAGATAACATTCCAAAAAATCTACATGGACATCAATAATACAGGTTTGTTGAAATTTGCGCCAAGGAACCAGGCTGTAGTCTGCAGAAGTTGAGTGTAAATTAGGACCAGGCTGTAGCTCCAAGCTATAGAAAACAAAGTCAGAATGGGAGAGTGTCGGCTCTTTATATCAGATGAAATAGCCCCCTTTAACTCAGGATCTGCGCTAGATAACAGTGTGAGTCCAAAACTNTACTCCACTCTCAGTGAACACCAGAGACCATGAAGACGACTGTTACTAAGCCTCAAAAGAAACAAACTTTAAATCACCATAGGTAGCAATTACCTGCACTGAGATTCATACCTCTAAAATCATACCTCTGCATAATCACAAAATGAGAGAAGCAAGAAATAAACCCTTCTGTAGATAAGTTTTAGAGATAGTCATCTTCATAATCGTCCCAATTTTGTTCCACTACCTTTGCAAGCTTTAACTTCTTTTTGGCTTTCTTTTTCTGGCTACGGGTAAGGGGTTGTTTGGGGGTAACCTCCTTTTTTACCGGACAGCTTTGTTTGAAAGCTTGTATAATTTCATTTGCGAAGGTATTTGCTGGTTCATCTGGGTCCTCAAACCAGCCCAAAGGAGACTTTTTTCGACCTTCAGCAAGAAGTCTCGCCTTACTTCTTGTGACCACTTGAGAAGGAGAGTAGGTTTTCCGACCTTTAAACACCCTTCCCAGCAATAATGGAGTCTTAGAGCACCTAGAAGTGTCAATTTGGAGGGGTTTAAGTTTATAATCTATAAAGACTTTGTCTTCTCCATCCGAGTGTGTGTAAAGTAGAGGCTCATCTCTTTCATGCGGCAAATCCTCAATGGCATTGTTGTAGAGTGCCATATTCCTTTCATATAAATTTACCAATGGATCTTCTAATGGGATAGGATCCAGGGAGGTTTCAGAAGCATGTCCCGGGTTGAATAGCACAGCAAAGGAATTGGGCGTGGTGGGAATGAATTCGGTGGCCAAAGGGGAGAGACTTGATCTTTGCAAAGGAGGGTAGAGGATTGTATAAGGCTGTAAGCCCTGAAAAGGCTCAATCTGCTTGCCCATGTCTGCCTTGTGATGAATATCAGCCTCTTTAGGATTATCATCATCCCTGATGACTTCATAAAACCGAGCCAAGTTGGAGTTAAATCCTGGATTCAGAGGGTTGTTCCCTGAGGCTTCAAGATCCAGACCACGGTCTTCCACACGGCCTAAGCTTGGGTTCTCCTCGCTAAGGTCCCCCTCTCCAGTCTGAGATTGTAATCCTGGTGTTTCTGTTTCCACAGCTGTGGATTGAGAGTGGATTGGTGGGGGGTGAACAGAGGGAGTATCACACAACAGTTTCATAGGTGGATCAGAAACCTGAGGAGCTGTAAAAGGAGTCGTTGACCTTCTCAAGGAAGACGTTGTAGATGTTGTAGCGTTGGTGACCTTCTCAACGAAGAAAGACAGTGCCTTGAAGAATAAATTTACATCATCATTTCTAGGACCAGATGGGAGTAATATGAATCTCTTCCCTTCCCTTCTCTTCTCCTGAATTTTAATGAATTCCCCTCTAGGATTTGAGCCAGAAGAGAGTTCAATGGTGCGGTTAGCAGCAAAGGAGAAAAGTGCCCAAGATCTATTGACAGAAATCCTGGGAAGAGATTCTAAAATCCATCTAATTGTTTCCAGGTCAAAAACCAAAGGTGATATCTCTTTTTCCCGCACTCAGATAAGCAGAAGTTTTTGTTGTAATGAGAGTGGAAAAGCTCAAATACCTTGTTTTGGGTTTTGAAGGTGAAGCTAGAGTTCTTGCTTGGTTCTGTGCCGAGGGATTGGTGTTTGATTTCGTGCTGGGCAAGGCGAGATCTGCTGAACACATAAGAATCGGCCCAGGCTCGCGATTGTGGGGATCTGAATGGCCAGCTTCTCCGCCATTTCCTATGGATAGTGGTCTTTCTGTGATGAGTTCTGTCCCTGAAGTAAAAAGAAGAGCTCTCCCTTCTAGATGAAATGAGAGGAGGGCGCCGGCTTGGATGAAAAGAGTTCCGGTGACCACCATAGATGCCGATGTAGGGATTCCGGAGATTGAAATCGTCATAACGTCGCCGGTCGCAGCTCCTCCTTCTCTCTAGAAACGCCATATAATATATATATATATATATATATATATATATATATAATATATATATATATATATATATACTACCTCCGTCCCATTGTCTTTGTCCAGAAATTTTTGAATGTTTATGCAAATACTACTCCATAATTTTCTTAGTTTATTGTAGTGAAGGTATGAGCTCTCAATACTGAAAAATATAATCATAACTAAAGAGACAAGACCCCCGTGTTTCTCAATTGTTGGATCCGCCTCTGGTAATATTTAAGGATCATTACAGAATTCCACAAAGAGACCTAGCTACAATATACTTGTACTAAATGTTTTTGTGTTTCAATTCGTTAATTACTCTTCTTTTTTCTACCAACATATTATATGCTCCCTACAATTCTTTTGTCCTTGAAAACACTTAATGTTTTGAATATTTTGGTTAAACAATGATATTTTTTTACCACAAATTAAACATAATCTAAATAAATAAATGTCTTTAAAATTTGATATATGAAAATTATATATTCTAAGTTGAACCCAACTATAACAAAAAGAAACTAGTTTTATTAGTTCCTACTAGGTGCTCAATTTTAAATTGTTGCAATTCGGCCGCAGGAGCACACAATTAAGAACTATCCAGCAACTGCTATATATATATATATATATACACACACACACACACACACACACATATAGGAGTAAAATAAAACTTTAAAACATTGAGTAAAAGCTAAATGAATGCAAAAAATAGTACAAAAGTAAAATATATGCAGGGAAACTAGGAAAGTAAAGGATACCGTCATAGCAGAAGCAGCAAGTTTTAGAAAAAAAAGTGCCTCAGGAAATTCTTTCATTCCTTTAAGCTGTTTGGATGACCAATCAAAAAGATCTTTACGCCCGTCCGCATAAATTTTAGCATACGTCAACGAAGCCGTAATATATGGTATCTAGAAAAAACACCATTTGTCAAATTGGTGAAAAATTAATATCACAATAAAAGTACAGGAAATATTAGGAATAGTGCAATAACCATTTTATCTAGATGAACAGCAGCTACCCAAGCGTCAAGTGTGTTCAAAGCACACTCTCTCATGTGCTTCTTATTGTCACCAAGACATTTTAATATATCTGAGAGAATGCCCTGAAAAATAAAGAGATACGAATCAATATGTACTATATACTCCGTAGTATATACAAATATACAAAGAAATGCAAGCGAAGCATCAACCTTGCATGACTTCTCAACTGCTGGCCCCATAGAAGATGCAACCGCACCAACTATAGATAGAGTTGACATGATAATATTCTTATTGCTGTCATACAACCGGCACCTAAGGGCACCAAACAGCACAGCTCTCCTGCAGGAAGGTGTGAATAGAGAGTGGAAAGTCAAGACACAAACAAAGTAAAAATGCATTTCTATGCTTGTAGTTATTTTTCAAACAATGAAAGTGCTCACACGTTCAAGCATAGTTTGCAAGAAGGAGAAAGTTCGTGTGGGTGAGCACAGAGAGACAAAGAGTAATACCAGCGCCAGTAGGCTGAATGCGCTTGTTGGCCTCTTCTAAAATTTTATTTACACCTTCAATCAATTCCAACCTAATCTGAAACAAGAAACAGTAGAGTAAAGCAAAATCCAGCTTTCTCAAGATCAATTCTACATAGGATAATGTACAGAACCTTCCAATTTGAGCTTTCTAAACCCTTAAGCAAAGCAGGTGTAATCTTTCCACTTATGTCTTCACGTGGGAGACTATCTAACCCACCACCAGACACACATACAGAATCTGATGCCTTCACTGTCCTCTTCGGTACAAAGGATGTACCCTGCAAAAGAATGCATGTTAACTACAAGAAACAATACAAACAAGTAGATCAATGCTTAACTAAATCAAACCTCGAATGGGTTTTTTTTTCATATTCTGCATCAAGAGCACTTAGAAGAGCTGGCTTTAGATCTGATAAGAATCCCTTGATATCTTTCAAAAGGTAAGCCAAATTTTAGACATTGTGAGAAAGCACAGCCAAAACAAGTTATGCTCCAAGAATAGAAAAGTTACCCGGGCCAACAAATTTGTGTAGGACACCAATAAGTTTAATTGTCGCATTTCATGTGGCAGCAGCATTGGAATGCAACCCAACATCCTTAAAAAATCAATTACATCCTCTACAAAAACAGCATGCTTTATACGACATGAAATTATCTTCATCTTTGAGATAAAACTAGAGCACAATACTATGCCTTTATTAGGAATAATAATTACATTATTAGGGGAAATATTACCTTGAGTTTCAGATGTGAAACACCAAAATCCTCAATTGCTGTGACCATCCACAGCAAGCCTTCACTAAGAACTTTAGGATTTTTGTGCTCTTTCATGATCATAGTCAGCTAAAGAATATGTTCTTTTGGTTTGGAAAAATAGGGAAATTAGGTGTTAGAAAGAGCTAAATATAGTTGGAAAGAAATCAAAAAGATTGAAAGGAGTTCAAAATAAATATTACCCATCCCTAGTTTGGCTTTTTCAGGCTAGACGAACTTTGAGAGCAATTAATTCCAATTTATATGTTCTTCAATGAAAAAAGTTTAAATACAGAACTAAATTTATGATCGCATACACTCCCTCTGTCCCAAAATAAACTTCTCGCACTTTTTTTGTTGTACCAAAATAAAGTCCCCTTTCCATTTGAAGAATGAAATGGGTGGTCCACAATAACTTTCTTTTACAACAATCTCGACTTAACAGTTTTACTTTTTTTAAACTCTGTGAAAAGTCAAGTATGAACTTTAATTTGGGATAGGAGTTTATGATTAATAAGCGCATGCCAATTAATTTCATTGAATTATAGTCGAATGAAATAAAATGGAAAAAGTAAAATGGCTTTTAAACTGTGTGCGCTTCTTTTAAAAGTGAAATAGCAGTTAGTCAATGCAACTCTCGACACTCATCATGGGTCACTAGAAACAGAGGCTATATGTTTCAAACATATGTGTTAGGCTTGCGTACATCTGGTCCCCTCTTTACCCCCCGCAATGGGCGGGAGCATTTGAGGCACTGAGGTAATGTTGTTTATTGTAAATAATTTTTTTTCATACTGTGCTGGAAACAGCTGAAAGAAATTGGTAGTATGGAGTAGGAGCTTGAGAGAGTGGAGTTTAAATTCCAAATTAAAAGAATAGGGCCTGAGAATTATTTTGGATTAAAGAAACACGAACTTACCCTCTCAAAAATAAATCTTGGGCCAACAACTTCAAAGAAAGTAGTGAGGCATTTCATGGATTGAGCACGTGTCTTGATGTCAGCAACTCTTTCAGAGATACCTGCAAGCAAAGAATGCAAAACCATGAGATAAGGAAACACAACAAATTGATACACCCAGGCTCGGCTCTGCTTGCCGAACACACCCTTAGGCCAAACCCATCCCCACCTAGCCCACTATATTTATTAAATACTTCATCAACATAAGAATAGCAAGAGCATGACAAATACTCTTCAAAGTTTCCTAGTTTATTTTCATCAGTAATAGTAATGTTTCCCCCTTTACCCTATATATATTTCGGCCATATGGCCAATGTAAGGAACATGTTGAAATGAAGTTTAAATCAAGTTAATACTCTTTGAGTGTTTTCTCCGAAAAAGTGTGATGCTTGTTCAAACGAATTCCTAATTTGTATTTTAATAGTTCTCTTCAGTTGATTGTTAGGTTCTGGTTATTTAATTAGGAGTGATTCTTAACTAAATTCTAGAGTTGACACTAAGCGAGATGTGAGTGCATAATATCTCGTATTCGAGCAATGATTATCTCTTACAAAAAACAAAAAATTACTAACTCCCTGCCTCGTTTCTCAACACCCCCTACCTTCTGGTATAACACAAAAGTAGAGCAGTTCAGTTAAAAAGGGACATAGCAAAGAGAAAAGGTTTTAAATTGACCTTGAAGGCAAAGTATAACACACTTTTTAGGGAACTTTGATGTTGTTGAAGATATTGTTGGGTTTGTGGAGGCTTGGGCTTGACTTTTGGCCCGGCCCATGTTACGAAACCCTAGATGCACTCTTCCTATATATATTGCATACTTGTACTTGTAATTCGCACCACAAGTGAAATAAGAAAATCCTCATGTTGCCGCCGTGGATTAGGGAAACCGAACCACGTTAAATTCTTGTGTGTCGTTTGTGTTCCGTTTCTCGCAGATTATTTGTGTGTGTTGTGTGTTTATTTCCCAACAAGTGGTATCAGAGCCTTGTTCAACACGAGCACGAATTGCGAGTTGTCACCTAGGGTTTTTGGGATCTGTGCGCAGTCGCCGGAGGGTAGAGGGAGCATAAGGGAAGCCGTTGAGAATCGCCGCTGACCCAGTCGCCGTCGAGTTCGCCGCTGGGTCTTGAACCGCAGCGAGGAAGATCGCTGACGTCGCTGCTACGTGTTGCCGCCGTCGAGCTCCCAGATCTCCGCCTCCGTTTGCGTATAGACCGCCGCACGCAGGAGCAGCGGCAGAAGGAGCCGCCGCCGCGTGGAGGAGCCGCATCGCCATATCGAAGCTGTGCCGTTTCAGGTCGCTCAGCCGCCGTCGTCTACCTGTGGTGCCGCCGCCGTCGGGAACCGTCCATCCGAGATTGTGCAGAGCCGCCAACCCAGTTGCTGTAGCGCCGCCTACCTGCGAAGAAGAAAAGCAGGTTGATCGAAGAAAAGTTGGTACGAGGGAAAAAAGGTTGTGTGCAAGGTGTTGGGCCGAAGAAAGAAAAAAATAAGAAAAGGAGTGGTGGACCCGGGCAGTGGGCCAAATTGAGTTTCATTTGGTCAGCCCCATCCTTTCTTTTTCTTGTTTTTTTAGTTTGGTTGGGCTTTATTTGGAGAGGTTTGGGCCTATTTGATTTGAAATTGGTGAGAAGTGGTCTTGTTCCTATTTTTTTCTGACGGGATTACCAAGATCTGAAATCAGTTGTACCGGGTATCTTGTCTAGTCGTTTGAGATGGCAGAAGATGGGAAGTTCCGAATTGAGAAGTTCGATGGTACAGATTTCAGTTGGTGGAAGATGCAAATTGAAGATTTGCTGGTTCAGAAAGATTTGGACGTGGTATTGGGTGACAAGCCAGAAAAGATGTCGGATGCAGATTGGGCAGGTTTGGATCG